GGGAAAAAATAAGAACCAAGATGCATTATGTAAAGGTACAATTCCCAATGAGAAATGTAATTGTGTTGTATACCTAAAATGTACTAATAAAAGAATTTAACAACAACAACAACAAAAAAATAACCCTCACCAGTGGTAATATTTTAGAATGTACATTTGCCACAAGTATGATTATTATATCCTTCTACATCCAAGACTAAGACTATACAACAGGTAAGCAGTATGTCTTAAGATGAGATATGAAGTGAAGCACACATATAAATGAAATGTTTCAATCTAAATAGGATAAGTGAAGAACATCCTAGAACCCATAATAAAGAACTTGTCAAGATGAATGAATTACAAAATGAATGAGGAATGCATCCATTTTTTAGACAAAGTGAGAAAGAAGATAAGGAGCAAAGAAGAAAAAAAATGTACCTTGTAGATGAAGCTTTTTATTTCCAAGTTAACAGCAGAAGTTGAAATATAAAATCATAAGCTAGGGTATAGACAATAAAACCATGGAGAACTATGGACTTAATAAAACTAAGGAAACCCTGCAGGATGTAATCTTAGCAGATGGCAGCTTACACAAAGAAAAATCAGAACAAATCTCTCAAAGTCAAATAAATGGCTTACAAAAAATGAACTACCATTCTCTAACACAAAACCTGGACACAAAATTAAAATTTGTTAGAGAATAAAATTTTATGTTTTATCTGACATTGTGGCTTCTTACAAGGAAAGAAACAGTTCTCCCCCATGTCTAGTATGTATGTGTTCTGCTGTCCAAAAACCTGTATGTCATATTAAGAGCTAAAGAAACTTAGTTATGAAATAAGGATATCTGAAGAAAATTCTCAGTAAGTTTTAGCTATCTCCAGTTTATCTCATCTTTCTTACTTCAAAAAACTATACAACCACACTGCTGGGTTCCTATTTTAGCTTTGACAACTTGCTAGCTTTATGACTTAACCAAATCACTCATACTGTCTCTGAGATTCCTCCTTTGTAAAATGGAGATGATAACCTACCTTATCTCATTAGGTTAGGATCAAATGATTTAACATGTGGTATGGTACATATATAAATGTGTGTTAAATAAAAATAAAATTTAAAAATATTTATTACACTAATCCTTGTTAGATTCTGGGAATATAATCATCAACGTACAAGATGCTTGTTTTCAAAAAAGCATGATAAAGAAAATGGATGAATAAACAATGATTACAAAAGAGTAAGAAAGGTGCTTCATACAGATGGACAGTCTATTTATGGGGACATGTGCATGTAACTTCACCACAGGAGAAGGGGAGAGAATCAGGTCAGGTCAGTATCCCCATTCAGGTGCAGAGTCACCACAATGGTGTCCTTCCTGAAAAAGTTTGCTTCTCAAAGCAAACTCTTTCACTTTTGCAATTTTGAGGCTTCAAAGGGTGCAGTCCTGCTGTTTCTTGTGATGCCCTCAGGCCATCTTTTCTATTCTCCTATTCCTTCTCAGCAATCAAGATCTCCTCTGCTTTATCTTTGCAGTTCATAGCTTTACTGATATTTCCTTTCTCTCCAAAATTCACCATGTTTTAAATCATTCTGCTGGGCTCTTTGCTCTTGATTCTCAACATAGATCTAGCTAAAACTCCCCAATGGTATTCATGCTATCACCTCAACATTAGACTGTCTTGAAATTTCTTCTGTAAGATTAATTAGTCCACTGCTTTAATCTCAGTCTCAGGCAAAGTTTCTGGATATGAGCAAAATGCAGACAAACTTTCTGCCGAGGCATAACACATGTTGTCTGGAGTCCAATAACCAGTGCAGTACTTTTTTCCAGGAGAAACCTCCTGAGCCTGGTCTTTACCAGCATCATTTCTATCAGCATTCTGGTCTTCCAAACTCTGACCAGAATCTCCCATCAAATGCAGCCTAAAGGCTGGCAGGGCTGCTTTTTCAGCCAGCATTTCTGAACCTTTCCAAACTCCTCCCACAAGCCAGTTCCAAAGGCTCCTGAACCACATGGTCATGTACAGTCACAGCAACAACCCCACTCTTGGTACCAAATTCTGTCTTAGTTACTTTTCTTATTGCTGAGACAAAATACCCAACACCCAAGGTTAAAAGAAGAAAGGTTTGTTTTGGTTCAGTTTGTAGAGGGGCATCACAGAGATGAAAAAGTTCCTGGTGGGCAGAAGCAGAAGGCAGAAAGCACCAAACTACAAGTGACCATAGCAGCTTCTTTCTGCTGTATCTAGGCTACTTGGCTTGGGGCAGGTGCCAAACCAATCAGTTGTCTAATTTAGTAATTACACACCCTTAATCCTAGCATTGCACCATATGGACATGAAAAAGACATCAAGTATCAGTTGCTTGTGAGCAAGAAATATCATTCGAGCTTGTTCACATCACAAGTGGCAGAGTTTTGAATATTAACTTAATTATATTACTTGGTGATATGTATGTGTGTGTGTGTTTATATATTAACACTCATATGCCTATATGATTAATATGTAACATACAAGGGATGAACAAAAAATATGGCAAATGTTTAAATTTTAAAAATGTATTACAATAAAAGACATATTGCCATCAACTCTTTCTTGACACTTTCTGAAGCAGTTCTGGAAGTCCTCTTTTATATTTTTATGAGATATGATAAAAAATAGGATGAATGCTGGTGCCGAGTACCATCTAAGATAAAGGCAGGCTTGTATAAACATTACCTATAGTGTCCCCTCATGCACCTTAATCACTGGATCTGGCCCTATGTAACTTCTGGCTCTTCCCCAAAGTCAAAATGAACATGAAAGTTAAATGTTTTAAAATGATTTAGGATATTGAGGCAGCCAAGACAGTAAAACAAAAGATATTCATGAAAAAGGAATTCTAGAACGGCTTCAGAAAGTGGCAAGTGATGGGTAAGCATGTTCAAAACAAAGAGTATTTTGAAAAGGATTAATGGCAATGTATCTTTTACTTAATAATTTAAAAAAATTTAAACACATGCAGTGTTTTAAAATTAATCTCATAAATGTAAAATGTTCCAATTTTCTCCAGTTTAAATTTTAATGTCTTATCACTTTTATTCTAAGAATTATAAACATAAGAAAGTTAGTGCTTTTCAAAAAGGTAATGAGTAATAAAGAGTCCACTTGAGTTTCCTCATTAAGTAACAAAGAGTGCATTTTCTTTATTGTTCCTGCTGTGTTTTCAAATCAAGAGTTCCCTCACTAACCCACAGCCTGCTTCAAGTTATCATTGCTGACCTCTGACCACAGGATAGGAAAGGAAAAGGAAAGAGCAAAAGACACCAACTCAATCACATTGTGTATTTGCATATTTTATGACAATACTATATACTGTGAGACAACTAACATAAAAGGCAAATGACACTTCTGACATCTTGCTGATCCACTAAAGATAAGAAAGGATAAGAATAAAGATGCTTACCTGTTGCTCTTGCATTCTAGCAGCACTCAGTTCTGAGAGAGACATGGTGAGCTTCTCCTGCTGTTCTGATAGGTATTTCTGATAGAGACTTAGAAGTTCTTGGCATTCTCTGTATTGTAGCTGAAGAGGTGAGATTGAACATTAAGGGAAAAAATAACTAAAAACATGGATTCAAACTGCATACATAAGTACTGCTTTTTCAGATTCCAATAAACAAAATGGAGATAGAAATGCAGTATTTGGCAAGAGAATAGGTGAGTAGAAGGTCATCAGCTGAAAATAGTATATGTATATGCCATAAAATCATGAGAATAGCAATGGTTATCCCAGTCAAAAGGTATTTGCCTCTCAATTCTTTAACTCTGAAAAATAAAACAAATGCAGGCTCACAAAGGAATTCCTACTTCAAGCCATATGAAACATGAAATGAAAATAAACCACATATCTAAATGGAAGAGTTAAAATTAATATGTACTTTTACATATTAATATGTACTTATTTGTAAAAGTACATATTTGTGACCTCAGATTAGGTGACAATCATTTAGATATACAAGCAATCCAAAAAACAAAAGATCTATTGAATTTAAAATTTAAAACTCTGTTTGCTTCCAAGAACGCTATTAAGAAATTAAAATGACAACACTCAGAATGAAAGAAAATATTTGGAAATCAATATGTGATAAAGGACTGGTTATCCAGACTATTAGCTTGACTTAAAAATGGGAAGAGTAGTTTTCCCAAAAGAAAATATATAAATGGTCAAGAATCACTAGAAAAGATGCTAAACATAGTTAGTCATTAGAGAAACAGGAATTGATATCACAGTGAGAAACTGCATCATATCCACTAGCAGGGCTACAATAAAAAAAAAGACTACTAATAGCAAATGTTGATAAAAATACGGAGAGACTGTAACTTTGAACATAGCTGATGGAAATGTAATACTGTGCCACCACTTTTGAAGATAATTTAGCAGTGTTTCAAAAAGACACAATTACCAGGTAACCCAGAAATTCTACCCCTAGATATTTACCCAAGAGAACTTCTTACCCAAAGCATATTCACACAAAAACTCATACATGCATATTCAGAGCATAATTAATAGTGAAAAAACCCAAATGTCTACCAACTAATGGAATATTGATTGGCCATATAAAGTGAGTATACCAACCATGAAAACATGTAAAATGAGAAAAGACAGACCAAAATGGTCATATATTATATGATTTCATTTATATGAAATGTCCAGTACAGGCAATCCTTACAGAGAAAATGTAGAGTAGTAATTGGTAGAAATTAAGGGAGAGGTGTGAGAAACTGAAAGTGTAAATAAGGATTAAAAGGATTAATAACAAATAATTGATACTTTGAAATAGGAAAAGGTTCAAAGAGGCAGGGGTGGTAGGAGGGGAAGGGGAAAGGAAAGGAGGGAAAGGAAAAATTATGAGAAAAGAAAAAAATGGAAACGAAATTTATGTAAATAGGGAAGGATGGAGGGGGTGAAGGGTGCACAGGCAATGGAGAAAAAATAAAAACCAAGATACATCATGTTCTGGTACAAGCATCCAATAATAAATGCAAATGTATTGTATACCTAAAACGTACCAATAAAAGAATTTAAGGAGAAAAAAAAAAGAGAAATTAAGGGAGAGGAAAAGGGGAGTAATCGCTAGGTATAGGTTTGAAGAAAAAGGTAAAAACAGATGAATGAGGCTCTTAAAAAATTCAAAACAGAAATAATCTCCCAGATAACTACAGAGATGGTGAGCAGAGTGAAAGACATGATTAGAGGCTCTAGAACAGAAACATATAAAAAAATAGATGAGCTCAGAAATATGCTGGAAGTCATGAATGTCCAGCATAAGAAAGAAACAGAAACCATGATCGCCCAACTTAAGAAAGAAATGGAATCCATCAAACAGAATCAAACAATTATTCAGCAGATTAAAAACTCCACTGAAAGCATGCAGAGCAGATTAAGGGAATCTGAAGATAGAATATCAGATATAGAAGGCAGAATTGTGGTGAAGGACCATGAAAACAGAGATTTCTTAAAAATAGTAAGAGACCATGAGAACTCAATCCAGCAGGAACTAGATGATGCAAGGAAGAATAATATAAGACTGATAAGAGTCCACAAAAAAAAAAACAGGAGAAAATACAATTGACATTAAAAAACTGTTCACAGTAGTAATAGAAAACTTCACAGACAGAGGTGGAGAATTGGACTTATAGAGAAGTGAGGCATGTAGAAATCCAACTAGCCATGATTTAAAAAAAAATCTACGCCTAGACACATAATAATCAAGACGCCAGAAACCCAACAGAAGAACAAAATCCTACAGGCAGTTAGAGAAAAGAAACAAATCACCTACAAAGGAAAGCCCATCAGAATCACAGCAGATTTTTCAACACAAACTCTCAAATCAAGGAGAGCCTGGAGTCAAGTATTTCAAGCCCT